CAGCAGCAGCACCATTATCTGCATCATCTGCATCATCAGCATCACCATCACCATCACCATGACCATTACCATCACCACCATCATCATCATCATCAGTTTCATCATCATAATCATCACCACCATCATCATCATCACCATCATCATCATCATCGGCGGCGGCGGCATCGTAATCGTCGTCCTGCTTTCCAACACCAACGCCATCGTCGCCGCTGTCGTTGCCCTGCTTTTGTCGTATGACTCACATTCATCACCACAAACCACTACTCACACGTACGTATCATCATAAATATGGCCGCCACACGTTGCCATTACTACAAGCATATTCACCACAATCACACCTTACTACCATCACCATCATCAACATCGTCATAGGAATAAGCAGCCGCCGCATCATCAGCATTGTCATTCTCGGCTATACCTCCTGTAGAGGGACATGCCCGACTGAATGATAGTCCATTTTCCTCCCGACCCGTCCAGGGGTGCGTTCTGCCCAGAACTTCGAGAGAAGTCTGGCCGCGGCGACGAGGAGCCTCTCCTCAGAGGCCAACAACAACAACAAAATAGCGCGAGGAAAACTCAAACCTCGAGCCTGTTGTCCTTCTCGACCCTGTCCTGGGGTGCGCTCTGACCAGAGTTTCGAGGAAGATCCCGCCGCGGCGACGAGCAACGAGGACCCTCGCGAGGAGCGCCAGCGGAGGGCCTAAGACGCCAAAACCCTCCTCCAAAACCCGTGCTTCTCCGCGCCGACCGTCGTTCCCCACGCTCGCTGTCCCGGGGTGGAGAGAAGGCGCAGCGCCACCTTGATGGGTACTCGGGAGACGGAGGCCTTGGACGATACTTACCAGCCTCAAACCTATCCCTACCCCTAAGATCGGCAAGCCCAATGCGAAGACAATATCGGGGAAGTGCCTTCAGAGACTGAGGGGATCCTCGAGATCGGCACCGAGATGAGAAGATGCCAATCATAGGGATGGGGACATGTTCCAGGTTGGTCAGATGCAGGAAGAGGGTGATATCCTTCCGCGCTCTGGCCATCCCGCGCTTACCTCCTTCCCGCGCGCTGCCGAAACAACTGTTCGGCGACTCCGGAGAGTGTGGTTCATAAAGCGTGTGCGGCTTGCAGCCAGGACCCAGGGGGGGGGCACCCTGGGGGAGCGGGCGGGGACCTCGATGGAGTTCTCCGCCGCGCCCCGAGGAGGCCCGACAAGGACAACGCCGTGCCCCCCAGGTCCCAACGGCGCCAATCGCAAACCACACCCCTGGCGTAACTACGCTTGGGTCGGGCATGTCCCTCTACAGGCAGATGTTATAAGAAAAATGAACCATAGCCCAAACAAGACTCCAAATTGTCAGAAAAATGATCGAAAAATCGCTCCCAGACGATGTCTTCACTTCCTTGGGATATCTGTCCTGTGGGGACGTGCCCGCCTTACACTATACACCCCTTGTCGTCGCCGACTCCCGACTGGGCACCCGTTCCGGGGGCGCCGAGGCGCGCCCGCGCCGCTCCTCGTGCTCGGCGGAGAGGCCCCGCTTGATGTCCAGGAGCGCCCTGCGGCCAAGGCAGGGCGTCCCTCGCCTCCTCCTGCTCGGCTCCCCCCCCCTCCCATCCCTCCAATCCCATCCCCTCCCATCCCTCCCTCCCTCCCCCCCCCCGTCCCTGCCTCCCCCCATCGTCCCTCCGCATCCCTCCCTCCTCCCTCCTCCCTCCTCTCTCCCACCTTCATCCTGCCTGCATCCCTCCCTTCCTCCCCCCCCCCCCCTCCTGCATCCCTCCTCCCGTCCTCCTCTTCCCGCCTCCCTCCCTCAATATCGCCCCTCCCTCCTCCCTCACTCCCTCTTCCTCCCCTCTCCCTCTTGGTATCCAGGGTCACCCTGCGGAGAAAGCGGGGGGGTCGAGGCGGGAAGGACGATCCGCTGTCCTCCGCCATCGTCATTCTCTTCTCCAGTTCGTCCCCGTCCCGGAGAGAAGGAGGAAGGAGGATAGAGGGAGGAAGACCTTGGAATTCAGAGGGCGGAAACCTGGACCTCCAGAGATCCGTCGTTTCGGGGGGGAGAGGGAGGCATTCCAAAAACC